GGTGGGTGGGTGGGTGGGTGGGTGGGTGGGTGAATGTTAAATGGTTTGAAGAGGTTTCTAGGCCAAGGACACCAGTTCAGCCATGTGTTTTCTGTCTGGTTTCTCACCCTGTAGGATCCCAGCTCGTGAAATTGTCTCGGAGTTTCCATTGCAGTACCATGAAACTTGCTGGAAGTAAATGGAGAATAAAGTGAGTGCTGTCTGTCTGTCTGTCTGTCTGTCTGTCTCTCTCTCTCTCTCTCTCTCTCTCTCTCTCTCTCTCTCTCTCTATCTATCTATCTATCTATCTATCTATCTATTTAGGGGATAGGGGACTGGAGGCTAAAACATATAAGGAACGGTTGCTGGAATTGGGTATATCTAGTTTAATGAAGAGAAGGACAAGGGGGGACATGATAGCAGTGTTCCAATATCTCAGGGGCTGCCACAAAGAAGAGGGAGTCAAGCTATTTTCCAAAGCACCTGAAGGCAGGACAAGAAACAACGGGTGGAAACTAACCAAAGAGAGAAGCAACCTAGAACTAAGGAGAAACTTCCTGACAGTTAGAACAATTAACCAGTGGAACAACCTGCCTCCAGAAGTGGTGAATGCTCCAACACTGGAAGTTTTTAAGAAGAGACTGGACAGCCATTTGTCTGAAATGGTATACGGTTACATGCCTGAGCAGGGGGTTGGACTTGATGACCTCCAAAGTCCCTTCCAACTACTACTACTACTACTACTACTACTACTACTTCTTCTTCTTCTTCTTCTTCTTCTTCTTCTTCTTCTTCTTCTTCTTCTTCTTCTTCTTCTTCTTCTTCTTCTTCTTCTTCTTCTTCTTCTTCTTCTTCCTCTTCCTCTTCCTCTTCCTCTTCTTCTTCTTCTTCTTCTTCTTCTTATTATTATTATTATTATTATTATCATCATCATCATCATCATCATCATCATCTATCTCTAGCATCTGTCTGTCTGTCTATCATTTATCATTTGTCACCTATATCTATTATCTACCTATCTATATCATCTATCTATTATCTATATCATTACCATAAAACATTAAAACGGTAAATAGTCACACTAAAATTAATTTAGGAACTAACAAAGATGGGAAAGGAAGGGGCCAGGATGCCCTTGGGGGAGGAGGTGGGGTCTTATCTGAGTCCAGTGGCGTCCTTGGTGTTNATCATTTGTCACCTATATCTATTATCTACCTATCTATATCATCTATCTATTATCTATATCATTACCATAAAACATTAAAACGGTAAATAGTCACACTAAAATTAATTTAGGAACTAACAAAGATGGGAAAGGAAGGGGCCAGGATGCCCTTGGGGGAGGAGGTGGGGTCTTATCTGAGTCCAGTGGCGTCCTTGGTGTTCTCTGCGCTTGATTGTTTTTCTCTTGCAGACGTTTCATTACCATACTAGGTAACCTCCTCAGGGCTAGTGCAAGATTAAACAAGGATCTTATCTTAACTTGCTTCCAGGAGGAAGTTGTGGTTACTCCAACACTGGAGGTTTTTAAGAAGAGACTGGACAACCATTGATCTGAAATGGTGTAGGTTTTCCTGCTCGAGAACGGGGTTGGACTAGATGACCTCCAGGATCCCTTCCAACTATTTGGCAGTTTTGCTGCTTAGGAAATTGGAAGCTGGGAGCTGTTGAGGGGGGTCAGAACTGAGCAGGCCTGCCAAGCAAAATATTATTTACATGATCAGTCAAGGCAGAATCAAATCCCTTTTATCCGTTAGTGATCGGTTTAATTTCCGAGAGCCGAACAAAACAATTTTGTCTTCTTTTTTTTTTTCCAGGCACGGTTTCCCTGTAAATCCATCAGATCACAGTCCGACCACTGACTTACCAGATTGGTCTTTTGCTGGTAAATAAATAAACAAACAAACCAGGGTGTGTGTGGGGGGGGAGGGAGGGAGGTGCATTATCTATTGATATTTGTAGACTTGCAAGACGAAAGTAAAATAGTAAAAATAAAGCCAAAGCCCTTTCAGACATTGTTTTAGGAAACAAATGATCATCCACAAAGGATAATCGTGCGGAGTTCAATGGCCAGATGATTGACAAGGGGCTTGCGGGCGGTGGAGAATTCCAGCTGGATTAAAATGGTTGCATAGCCCAATTTAAATGGCTGGTGGTCCCTTTTAAAGCTCTGAATGGCCTGGGACCTGGATACATCCGAGAACGTCCAGCTGGAATTATATCTACTCGTCCCAAACTGGTCCTCATGAAAGAGTACAAGTAGTCCTCAATTTACGTCCATTCGTTTAGTGACCATTTAAAGTTATCAACAGCACTGGAAAAAAAGTGGACTTAGAACTGTTTTTGACACTTGACGGTTGCAGCCTCCCCGTGGACACGTGATCAAAATACACCTGTGACTGGAAGCAATGATAAAACGACATATAGATTTAAAACCAGAGATATTCTTATTGGGCATGTTATCAGAAAACTATTAATAAAGGCAATACATATTTAGTTTTACATTGATTAACAGCAGCTAGGAGAGTATATGCACAGTATTGGAAAAAATGAAGAGACCCCTACAGAGGAGAATATAATTTAAAAAATACCGGAGTGCGCAGAAATGGATGGGTTAACGTTAAACATTAAAGAAAAAGAAGAAACTGAATACTTTATGACATGGGAATTGTTTTACCCATGGTTGGCTGACAGAAACAGAGGTTAGAAAGTTGGAAATATGAGAAAAATGTGGATTGTATGAGGAAGATCTATAGCGGATTAGTAAATATTTTGATTGTTATTCAATTAATGTCAATGTGGAAAATACTATTTTTAACAATATGACTGCTATTTCCTAGTACATGATTGTATTTTGATAAGATTACTATGAATGTGATGATTATTATATTCTAATATTTGTATACCCAGATAACACACTGTTCAAGATAGAAATGGAATTTTTGATATAGTAGTAGTAGTAGTAGTAGTAGTAGTAGTAGTAGTAGTAGTAGTAGTAGTAGTAGTAATATCGGCCGCTTGGCAACTGGCATGTATTTATGACGGTTGCAGTGTCCTGGGGTAAAGTGATCTCATTTTACGACTTTCCAACAAACAAAGTCAGTGGGGAACCCAGATTCACACTACAACAGTGTTACTAACTTAACAACTGCAGTGATTCACTTAACATCTGTGGCTTTGCAAGGTGGTAAAATGAGGCAAACTTCACCTCACAACTGTCTCACTTAGCAACAGAAAATTTGGGCTCAGTTGTCATAAACAGCCATAAATAACAGAATAACAAGAGCTGGAAGGGATCTTGGAGGTCTTCTAGTCCAACCCCCTGCTCAGGCAGGAAACCCTAGACCAGGGATAGGCAACCTTGGCTCTTTTATGACTGGTGGACTTCAACTCCCAGAATTCCTGAGCCAGCCATGCTGAGGGGAAAGGGAGAGGTTTCCAAGCTGAGCCATGCTCGCTCAGGAATTCTGGGAGTTGAAGTCCACAAGTCATGAAAGAGCCAAGGTTGCCTACCCCCTGCCCTAGACCATTCCAGACAAGTGGCTGTCCAGACTCTTCTTAGAAACTTCCAGTGTTGGAGCACCCACCACTTCTGGTGGCAAGCCGTTCCGTTGGTTAATTTTTCTCCCCGTCAGGAAATTTCTCCTTACAATCTGGGTCAGTTGCCAGGAGTGCAAAATAAATGCTGGAATTGGGTATGTCTAGTTTAATGAAAAGAAGGACTAGGGAGTGACATGATAACCGTCTTCCGATATCTAAGGCCTGCTCCAAAGAAGAGGGAGTCAAGCTATTCCCCAAAGTACCAGAAGGCAGGACAAGAAACAGATCAAGGAGAGAAGCAACCTAAAACTTAAGGAGGAATTTCCTGACAGTGAGAACAATTAACCAGTGGAACCACCTGCCTCCAGAAGTTGTGGCTGCTACATCACTGGAGGTTTTTAAGGAGAGATTGGACAACCAATTGATATAGGGCTTCCAGCCTGAGCAGGGGGTTGGACTAGAAGACCTCCAAGGTCCCTTCCAACTACTCTGTGACCGCAGGGGGCAGGGTGTCAGAATTTCAAAACTGGGCTGTGATTCCCCTTTTCAGGGTCTGTCATGACTTCAGATGGTGTTTTAAGTAACCGGTCGTAAGTCAGGGACTCCCTGTACTTCCGCAACTGTTAGAATCACTCCTGCAATCTCAGGAAATCTGCTTGAAGTCAGTGTTGCACCTGCTGTCTGGTGCAAATGTCTGAACACTGGGAATCAACAACTTGCATCTTTAATAATGTTGTGTATTTCTTCCCCCCCCCCTCGCCCCCGGCAGATGGCAGGCCGGCCCCTCCCATGTCAGGCCAAGTCCGAAGACAGGAAAAAAACCGGGAGATGGTGGTAAGTACCCTTTCTCACAGCCTGGTTGTTGTTGTTGTTGTTGTTGTTACTACTACTACTATTACTATTAATAATGATAATGATAAAGTTGGAAGGGACCTTGGAGGTCATCTAGTCCAACCCCCTGCTCAGGCAGGAAACCCTTTATCATTTCGGACAAATGGCTATCCAGTCTCTTCTTAAAAACATCCAGTGTTGGAGCATTCACCGCTTCTGGAGGCAGGTTGTTCCACTGGTTAATTATTCTAACTGTCAGGAAGTTTCTCCTTAGTTCTAGGTTGCTTCTCTCCTTGTTTAGTTTCCATCCGTTGCTCCTTGTCCTGCTTTCCGGCGCTTTGGAGAATAGCTTGACTCCCTCTTCTTTGGGGCACCCCCTGAGATACTATTACTAAAAACAAGAAAGTCCAGTTGCCTCTTGAAAAAGCCCCTTTGGGACAACCATGGCTTGGAGGACTGAGAATCTCCAGAGACGTGTCTTATAAGTCTTGAAAAATCCACAGATTGAAAAAAACAGCATTCGTCTCCATCCCGAACTGGGCAAGGCTAGCAATTTTTCTAAGAACCTGTACAGGTAGTGCTCAGCTTACGACCACAACGGAGCCCCAGATCTCTGTGGCTAAGCCAGACATTTGTTAAAGTGAGCTTTGCTCCCTTTTATGCCCTTTCTTGCCGCAGTTGTTAAGCGAAACACTGCAGTGGTTCAGTTAGTAGCACGGTCGCTAAGCGGATCCGGCTTCCCCGTTGCTTTGTCAGAAGGCCGCCAATGGGATCTCGTGCTCCTGCAGCCGTCCCAAATATGAGTCGGTTGCTAAACGAGACAGTTGTTAATTGAGTCTTGTCCCATTATTACAGCCTTTCTCGCCAGAGTTGTTAAGTGGATCGCCACTGTAGCAAACGGTTGTTAAATGAATCAGGCTTCCCCCATTAACTTTGCTTGTCAGAAGGGGGCAGAAGGGGATTGTGTGATCCTGGAACACAGCGTCATAAATACGAGTCAGTTGCTGCAGTGGTCACAAGTGGGAGGACCTGATAATTCACTTTTTTCCAACGTCACTGTAACTTCGAAGAGTCACCAAGTTGTAAGTCGAGGACTACCTGTGCTGGACTGGCTACCGTGTACAAGGAAGTCCTCTACTTACGACCACAATTGAGCCCAGCGTTTCTGTTGCTAAGGGACATGTTTGTTAAGTGAATTTTGCCCCGTTTTGTGACCTTTCTTGCCACCGTTGTTAAGCGAATCGGCGCAGCGGCTAAGTTAGTAACACGGCTGTTCAGTGAATCTGGCTTTCCCCATTGACTTGGCTTGCCGGAAGGTCGCAAAAGAGGGAAATCACGCAACCCTGGGACGCGGCGACTGTCACAAATGTGAATCGTTTTTTTTAAGCCTCTGAATGTAAATCACGTGAGCGTTGAGGGACGCTGCAAAGGTCGTAAGTGTGAAAAACGGTCACCGGTCCCTTTTTTTCATTGCTGTCGTAACTTCAGATGGCTTTAAGTAGAGGACTTATTTCAAATTTAGGGGCAGGGAGAGAGTCAGTTTTGAAATCTCACATATTTACCTCAGATTTTTTTTTAAAAATGTAAAGTTCCCTATTCCAGCGACTCCTCAACTTAACGACCACATGACCAAATTCAGACGCTTGGCAACCAGCCGGTACTTAACGACGGTTGCAGCATCCCAGGGTCGTGTGATCACCCTTGATCCCCTTCCCAGCAGGCTTCCGACAAGCAAAGTCAGTGGGGGCAGCCAGATTCACTTAAGGATCGCATGCTTCACTTAGTGACCGCAGGGGATTCACTCAATGGCCGTGGCGAAAAGATCGCAAAATGGGGCGCAGCTTACTTAACAGTAATCGTTTTGGAGTTCCACTGCGGTCGTAAAGCAAGGACTACCTCGTCTTTCAGAAATGGACGCTAGGGTGCATGTTTGCAATTCCCTGCGGGAAGGTTATTATTATTATTATTATTATTATTAATAATAATAATAATAATAATAATAATAATAAGTTGGAAGGGGCCTTGCAGGTCATCTATTCCAACCCCCTGCTCAGGCAGGAAACCCTATACCATTTCAGTTCAGTCTCTTCTTAAAAACCTCCAGTGTTGGAGCACCCACAACTTCTAGTGGCAAGCTGTTCCACTGGTTAATTGTCCTCACTGTTAGGAACTTTCTCCTTAATTCCAGGTTGCTTCTCTCTTTGATGAGTTTCTATCCGTTGCTTCTTGTCCTTCCCTCTGGTGCTTTGGTGAATAGCTTGACTCCCTCTTCTTTGGGGCAACCCCTGAGATACTGGAACACGGCTATCCTGTCCCCCCTCGTCCTTCTCTCCATTATACTAGACATCCCCAATTCCTGCAACCATTCTTCGTATATTTTAGCCTCCGTCCCCTGGAGGGGGAGCATGTGAAGGACATCTCCCCGGCCTGTTTAAGCGTCCCTTTTAACACCCCTTCTCTGATTTTTTGGCCTTTCAGAGGCGCATAGCCCAGCTCTCGTCAGAACTAGACCACGGAATGGAAAAGTGGGAAACTAAAATGGAAAAACAGAAACAAGACCAAGAAGAGAAGCGACGCAAGAGACTTCAGCCGAAAGGAGACTCCCTCCAGCAGCTCCCGAAATAATGGCTCTTTCTTCCTTTGTAATTTGATAAATCTATGTATATTAAATCTATCTAGGTATAAAATCTATCTATGTGTAATGAATGTATAAATCTACATATGAAGATCGGTTGCAGGAATTGGGCATGGCCAGTCTAGAGAAAAGAAGGACTTAAGGGGGGACATGATAGCAGTCTTCCGGTATTTGAGGGGCCGCCGCAAAGAAGAGGGGGTGGTCCACCTATTCTCCAAAGTGCCTGAAGGCAGGACAAGAAACAATGGATGGAAACTAATCAAGGAGAGAAGCAACCCAGAACTAAGGAGAAATTTCCTGACTGTGAGGACAATTAACCAGTGGAACCGCTTGCTACCAGAAGTTGTAGCTGCTTCATCACTGGAGGCTTTTGAGAAAAGACTGGACAGCCATTTGTCTGGAATGGTATAGGTCAGGGGTAGGCAACCTTGCCTCTTTTATGACTTGTGGACTTCAACTCCCAGAATTCCTGAGCCAGCATGGGGGAAACTATGGCTCCCTTGATGACTCGACTTCAACTCCCAGAATTCCTGAGCCAGCCATGCTGAGGGGAAAGGGAGAGGTTTCCAAGCTGAGCCATGCTGGCTCAGGAATTCTGGGAGTTGAAGTCCACGAGTCATAAAAGAGCCAAGGTTGCCTACCCCTGGTATAGGGTCTCCTGCTTGTGCAGGGGGTTGGACTGGAAGACCTCTGGGGTCCCTTCCAACTCTGTTTATTCTCCCCCCTCCTCCTTTTTAAGAAGAGATTGGACAACCATTTGTCCAGAACGATAATAGGGTCTCCTGTTTGAGCAGGGGGTTGGACTAGAAGACCTCCAAGGTCCCGTCCAAATCTATTCTGATGGATTGATGGATGTTTTTGTATTGGAGAGAACTGGGCGGTCGCTGTTTTCTGCTCATTTTCTCCCCCTTTGTTTATAATCCAAGGTTGGAAGAGTGTGTGTGTGTGTGTGTGTTTGCCCTGGCATTTTATCTGCATCACAAAGCCATGCTGTTAACCAAGGTCCTGCTTGCTTAGTTTCAACACACAACTGTCACATACCTTCAATCCAGAGGGTCTTATCTTGCAGAAAGCCTTGCTCTTTTGTGTGTGTGTGTGTGTGTGTGTGTGTAGGGGGGGGAGAGGATGACCACAGCCCCCCCTTTTTAAACACGTATGCACATCCCAATTTAATCTGCAGTTGAAAAGATTGACTACTAAACCTCTGGCAGGGAAAGATTCAAGGCTGTATTGGTGGAACGAGTCTTGCCTTCGGGCCCCCTGCGATATAAACTTTCCAGCAGGAAAGAGTGAGAACGATGGGTTTTATTATTATTTTGAACTCCTGCCCTGGAATTCGGTTCCCGCGTTCCAACCCAGATCCCGGCTGCAAGAACAACGGGCCAGGACCACTCAAGTCAATCAGAACAGAGCTGGATGGGACCTTGGAGGTCTTCTAGTCCAACCCCCTGCTCAAGCAGGAGACCCTACACCAGGGGTAGGCAACCTTGGCTCTTGTATGACTCGTGGACTTCAACTCCCAGAATTCCTGAGCCAGCATGAGGGAAACTTTGGCCCCTTCGTGACTCGTGGGCTTCAACTCCCAGAATTCCCGAGCCAGCATGTGGGAAACTTTCACCCCTTCATGACTCGTGGACTTCAACTCCCAGAATTCCTGAGCCAGCATGGGGAAACTTTGGCCCCTTCATGACTTGTGGACTTCAACTCCCAGAATTCCTGAGCCAGCATGAGGAAAACTTTGGCCCTTTCATGACTCGTGGACTTCAACTCCCAGAATTCCTGAGCCAGCATGGCTCAGCTTGGAAACCTCTCCCTTTCTCCTCAGCATGGCTGGCTGAGGAATTCTGGGAGTTGAAGTCTACGAGTCATAAAAGAGCCAAGGTTGCTTACCCCTGTCCTATACCATTTCGGACAGGTGGCTGTCTGGTCTCTTCTTTAAAAACAGGAGGAGGAAGAGGAAGAGGAGAACAGAGCTTGAAGGGACCTTGGAGGTCTTCTAGTCCAACCCCCTACACAAGCAGGAGACCCTATACCATTCCAGAAAAGTAGCTGTCCAGTCCCCTCTTAAAAGCCTCCAGTGTTGGAGCACCCACATTTTCTGGTGGCAAGCTGTTCCCCTGGTTAATTGTTCTCAATGTTAGGACGTTCCTCCTAAATTCCAGGTTGCTTTTCTCCTTGGTTAATTTCCATCCGTTGTTTCTTGTCCTGCCTTCAGGCGCTTTGGAGAATAGGTGGAAAAACCCCCCCACTTCTTTGGGGCAGCCCCTCAAATATCGGAAGACTGCCTCGTCCTTCTTTTCTCTAGACTGGACATGCCCAAGTCCTGCAGCCGTTCTTCGTAGGTTTTTGTCTCCAGGCCTTGGATCATCTTATAGTAATAATAATAATAATAATAATAATAATAATGATGATGATGATGATGATGATGATGATGATGATGATGATGATGATAAAGTTGGAAGGCACCTCGGAGGTCATCTAGTCCAACCCCCTGCTCAGGCAGGAAACCCTATCCCATTTCAGACAAATGGCTGTCCAGTCTCTTCTTAAAAACTTCCAGTGTTGGAGCATTCACCGCTTCTGGAGGCAGGTTGTTCCACTGGTTAATTGTTCTGACTGTCAGGAAGTTTCTCCTTAGTTCTAGGTTGCTTCTCTCCTTGATTAGTCTCCATCCATTGCTTCTTGTCCTGCCTTTGGGTGCTTTGGAGAATAGCTTGACTCCCTCTTCTTTGGGGCAGCCCCTGAGATACTGGAACACTGCTATCCTGTCCCCCCTCGTCCTTCTCTTCGTTAAACTAGACATACCCAATTCCATCAACCGTTCCTTATATGTTTTAGCCTCCAGTCCCCTAATCATCTTTGTTGCTCTTCTCTGGACTCTTTCTAGAGTCTCAGCATCTTTTTTACATCGTGGTGACCAAAACTGGATGCTGTATTCTTTTCTTTTCTTTTTTGTAACATGGTGACCAAAACTGGATGCAGGATTCCAAGTGTGGCCTTAACTGAGGCTTTATAAAGCAGTAACTCTGCGATGAAAAGTTAGTAAAATGCTTTTCCCCCCCCCCCACACACACACATCAGCTTGCCTCGTGCGGGGCACCCGGAGAATCGAGGTGTCCACAAAAGGTTTAAAAGTTTAAAACTTCTTGGCTCGGTGCAGACAGACAAAAGCCCCGGGGGAGAGGCCGAAAATGGGAGGCCTTGCCAGGAAAGGGATGCATCCAGCTGGCTTAAAGGAGGAGAGATTTTTGGAAACATTTAGGAAATCCCATCCTGGCTGAGATATAAAAAAGCAGCCGACGCCAGTTTTGCAGGAATGTTGGATGCTTTTCTGCAAAAGACCCGCCTTGAGCTCTCTTTCCATCCGTGGGGGGTCCCTGTAAGCTTCCCCCCCCCTGCTCTGGCCCTATGGAGACCTCTGCCTGCCAGAACTCAAGTCACAAGACCCTATGAAGGAAAATAGAAGCTGGGATGAGGCGTGCATTCTTCCTAAATCCTAAAGGATTCTCTTCGGTTTCTTTTCCCCCTCTTTCGGTGCAAAATGACATTTTCCTCCCTCGAAAATTACGAGAAAAAGTTTTAAGATTTTTCTTTATTTTGGGGGAACATTCTATTTAAATTGATTAAACCCAAGGTTGATGCAAAAGACACCGCTTCTGCCCCACGTTTTGGGCTCAGCCAGGCTGTCCCAAACAGGAGGTTTTTCCCCATTTAATCCATCCTCGCTGCGGCTCAGCACGATGGGCTTTGTTGCTCCCTCCGTTTGGAAGCCACCCCCCCTTTCCTGGCCAGCTCCTTCCCCCCCACCCCTCTTTTCATCTTTGCAAATTCCCTTCCTGTCTCCACCGCTCAACATCTGGAGCCTCAATGGGCGTTGAGCTTTTTCAATGCAGGAACTCGGACGCCAAATTTAAGCCAGCGGCTGCGAAAAAGAGAATTTTGCTCTTGTTATTTCCATCTTGAAATTTGGGGGGGTGGAGGAGAGGAAGGTCTGCATGGCTACCCAGCCCTATAGGATCTTTTTTTTGGGGGGGGGGAGGGTGGAAAAAAAAATCTCTTTGCCCTTTTGCTTCCCGCTTGGTCATCCCCGCCTTGCTAATTCCATCTGTGTTTTGAACACAAAATTTTTTTTTCCTCCTACAGAAGGAGGGGGGGGTGCTTCTGTAATTGCTTCCAGATGTGATAACCGCAAACACAGGGATGAGATCAACGCTGGAGTCTTGAGCTAAGCGCACGAGAGATCCTGCCGGGGCGGCCAAGTCACACCTCTTGGTGGGACAAGACCTCTTGTTCAGGTTCCACACGTAAGGGCCAGCTCAGCGCTTCCAGGGGCGATTCTCTCCTTCGCCCCTCCTTCCTCTTTCCTTCCCCCCCCCAAATTTCACCCCAGTTGAGCTCCTGGCTGGCCTTGATGCAGCCCTTGAGCTGAGCACACACACCCCCCTCCTTCCACCCTCCCCACTGGATTATCCCTGACTCAGTCGAACTGAGGGCAAAATTGGAGTTGCATCAGCAGAGACAGGATACAGTGTGTGTGTGTGTGTGTGTGTGTGTGTGTGTGTGTGTGACGCATCCATCTCTGGAAATCTGATTTTAAGAAAAAATTAGATAGATGGTATGATGAGAGAGAGAGAGATGTGTGTCTGTGTGTGTGAGAGAGAGAGAGATAAGATAGAGAGATAATGATTGATAGAGAAAGAGATAAGTGATAGATAGATATAGATAGATATAGATAGATGACAGAATAATTGATAAATGTTAGATGATAGATTGATATAATTAGATGTAGAAGTAGAGATGATATAGATGATATGAGATAGATCGATGATAGACAGAGATAATTGATAAATGTTAGAGATAATGATAGATTGATAAATGATAGATATACATAATTAGATAGATGTAATATAGATTAGATAATGATATTCATAGATGATCGTTAGATGTAGCTGTAAATAGGATAGATATAGAGTAGATAGATAGATAGATAGATAGATAGATAGATAGATAGATAGATAGATAGATAGATATAGATACAGACACACACACACACACACACACACACACACAGAAAGATAGAGACAGACAGACACAGACAGACAGATATAGATGATATAGATGATTGATAGATGAGATGAGATAGATATAAATAGATATAGAGACAGATAGACAGACAGACACAGAGATATAGATGATAGATATAGATGATTGATGAGAGATGAGATAGATAGATAGATAGATAGATAGATAGATAGATAGATAGATAGATAGATAGATAGATAGATAGATAGATGGATGGATGGATGGATGGATGGATGGATGGATGGATGGATGGATGGATGGATGGATGGATGGATGGACGGACGGACGGATGGATGGATGGACGGATGGATGGACGGATGGTCAGAAAGACAGACAGATGTGTGAGGCCCTATGCAGGCATCCAGCGACCACAATTTATGACTATTTTTCCCCAAAACAAGACACCCATTGTGGGGCCTTTGCTTAACAAGCGCAAATTTACTTAACCATTATGGCAATTTGCTTAACGACTGCCACATTTCCCATTATTTGCAGGATTCCCACGATCACATGACTGAGATTTTTGACATATTTTTGGCCAGAAACCAGAGTTCAACTTCCAGTTTCTGGGGGGAAAAACTCCCACCGGGCGTAATAGGTGCATTGATGGGTCATAAAATCAGGCATGGTCACATGGTGACCCACTTAACAACCACCACGACTTAGGACCATAATCCCAAGGTCAATTATGGCCGTAAGTCAAGGATTTTCTGTACGATGCACAACAAAACACTTTTTCAAGCTTCAGTTCATTGAACCTGTAGTTCGAAACTCAAGACCGCAGCATCCTGGCCATGTGCAGAGTGCCATGCCAACACAGCTGACTCTCACTCACTCGCTCGCTAACTATATCATCTCTCTATCAATCAGCCTCCCTTCCCCTAACACACACACATACACACACAAAAAGAAACACGCAAACACAGAACTTCCCAGAATTGTCACATAGCGTTTTTCGCAAAGCAAAATACCAGGAAAAGTTATTTCAAAATAAACATTACACAATAGGATGGAGAAGGATGGCAATTAACCCACGGGACTGCTGTCTCATGTTTACAGGGGGAAAAAATAGCCTAGTTGTTGGCTAGAAGGGGGTTGAGCATTTCAGTTCTGAAGAGTGAGAAAAAGTGGAAGGAGGGAGGGGAGGAGGGAAAGAAAAGAAAAGAAAGAGAAAATGGAAGGAAGGAAGAAAAAGAAGGGAAAGAGAAAGGAAGAGAAAAAAACAAAAGGGAAAGAAGGAAGGGAAGAGGGAGGGAGGAAAAGGGAAGAAAAAGAGAAGGGTAAAGAGGGAATGGAAGAGGGAGGGAGGGAGGAAAAGGAAGAGAAAGGGAAGGAAGGGAAGAGAGGGAAGGAGGTAAACGGAAGAAGGGAAGGGAGGAAAAAGGAATGAGAAACAGGAAGTACACAACCTTCTCATCCCACCCCCAAATTTTTTGTTGTTTTTAATGCCTCTATTTATCTCATCTTTGGATCTAAGCTGTGCCAAGAATATTAAGTACACAACATATTTTGGCAGGAATAAGCGATCAGTTCATCTGTTTTTGTTTTTGTTTTGTGTGGAATTTGTGTGCAAATCCATAAACACCCCGCCTCTACCCACTCACCCCCAATTAAACTCAACAACCCACCCGGAGTTCAAGGCAGAATCGGTTGTGTGAAATGGGCTTGAGCTTTATCCAACCTTTAACCCCCAAATTGTGGCTTCGGATTGATGGAAGACCCGTCACGCGAGATGTTCCTCTGGATAGCTCGGACTACCGCGCCCATCGTTCGCACCGCGGCCACCCATTAAGAGGGCACCTTGGATAGCCCGTGTGGTCGGTTCTGGAGGGCGGAGGCGATGCTGAAGTATTTTGAGTCTTTCCTAAAACTCTTTTACCTCTACAACCTTACGTGGAAAACTGGTTGAGGAATCATTTTCTCAGAATTAACTGCACACCGAACGCAGGAAGTCCTCGACTTACCACCGCAATCCAGCCCAAAATTTATGTCGCCAAGTGAAAAACTGGTTAAGTGGGTCTCGTCCCATTTTACGACCTTCCTGGCCCCGGTCATTATAGCGAAACACTGCAGTTGTTCAATTAGTAACGCAGTTGATAAGCGAATCCGGATTCCCCCCCATGGACTCTGCTTATCAGGTCGCAAAAGGGGAATCGCGTGACCCCAGGGACACTGCGACGGTCGTAAATGCGAGTCGGCTGTCGAACATTTCTGTTGCTGAGACAGAGGTTAAGTGAATTTTGCCCCATTTGACAACCCTTCTGGCCACTGTTATTCAGTGAATCACTGCAGTTGTTAAGTGAGTAACACCGTTGTTAAGTGAATCCGGCTTTCCCCATTGACTTTGCTGGCCAGAAGGTCGCAGAAGGGGATCACGTGACCCCCGGGACCGTCATAAACGTGAACCGGGTGCCAAACAGCCGAATTTTGATCACGTGACCATGGGGATGCTCCCTTTTTTCAGTCCCGTTGTAACTGTGAACGGTCGCTAAATGAACTGTTGTAAGACGAGGACTCACTATTTTTCCCTCCAAAGGAAAAAATAAATCACACTTTATACTACTTTTAAAAAAGAGGGGAAAATCCAGCATTTATTATTTTTCTTTTAAAAAAAAAAGAAAAGAAAAAGTGGGAAAAATATCTTTGGTGCTTCTTTTTTTTTTCATAACAAAAAAAAAGTTTTTTTTTTAAAGTAACAAAACAGTTCCAGCCTAACTTAGGTGGGGGGGGGGGAGGGAAAAAGAAAAATAAATCTTTTAAAACTTCCAGCGTTTCGAGTCCATTTCCACCCAGAAATGGTGGGGTTTTTTTTTTTATTATTATTGCTAACATTAAAAGGAATAACAGAATGGAAACAGCCTACATTACAGGCTGCATCCATTTGACATATATATATATATATCCCTTTGAAAGAACGGGTGTTTATTATTAATAACAAAATAATAACAATAATAAAAGCAGAACAATAAACAATATTAAACCCCCACCCCACCCACAAACAATTCGATCGTTAAACACAGTTTAATTCCGTTTGAAGACCCTTTGAAAATACTTATATAAATCACCCACCCAGTGCCCTTATTAAAAACGATCCGGGCAGAATTGGGGAGGATGTAAGGCACCCAGTTCCCGGCCTGCAGGATTTTAATATTGTCCTCCTATGCCTATTCTATTTCCCCAACCCCCATTAATGTGCTATTTTTAATCCCTTGGTTTTTTATTTATTTATTTTAAAAAAAAGGCATTTCTGTATAATAATTAAAATTACATACTTAAAAAAAAAAATCAAGACACAGGATCATAAGGCAGTTTGAGGCAGTTCTCTGGTACAATTCATCTCTCCCGCCCACCCCCATTTTTATTTATTTTTTTGCAAAACACTGCTTTCGGTTCATTTTCGCAGAATCGGGAACGGATTTTAAGTCAAGCTTGGCCACTTTTAAGATCTGGGGACTTCCACTCCCAGCATTCCTCAGGCAGCCATGCCGGCTGGGGAATTCTGGGAGTTGAAGTCCGTAAGTCTTAAAGCGGCCACGGAAGGGATCCCCGTTTTAAGGGACAACTATAAACATCGGGCCAGTGTCGTCCGATGGAGAAGTTAACACTTCCAGAAGCGGCCCTGCCAACATCTGGATTTGACTGGTCAACTTCATCACCAGGCAGGTGCCCTCCAGGTATTGAAGGGCTCCCTCCCCAAATTCTTGGCCAAAATAAGAATTGAGTCCTAACTTGGGGTGTCCATGGGAGTGGTTAAAAAAAAAAAATCAAGATGGCAGTCAATGGTGGCCTCCATCTTGACTTTTTGGACCACCCTGGATCTCAACATCTGGAAGGCACCAGGATGGCACCAGACAACTGGTCTGGGCAAACATCTTCTGTAGGCCACATAATCTTGGTCCCTCCCTCCTTCTCTCAAACATGCCCCATTTCCCAATATGATCAAGGTACCAATGGTCCACTCCATTACGTCATGAGGAAAACTCGGCTTACCCCCTTACCACCTGACGGTTAGGCCCTTTATGAGTCTTCGCTGCCCCCTCCCCAAGAAAAGTTGGCCTTTGCGACAGGCCCTCCCAAGCCTAGCATCCCACCCCATTTTCCTCCTTGCTGTTTCTGATTGGTTAGATCCCCCCATCCCTGGTCAGCGCACGGTTCCCCCTTCCCTCGCCGAATGGAATGAGAAGATCCCTTTCGGAACACCGTCATTCCTTTCCAGATCTATGATCTCTAGACTTGAGCTCTATAACGCTTCGCCCACCTTCAACTTCCCTACTACCCATCGTGGCTTGGTTCGGCAACGCCGATGAGATGGTTCTCCACCATTTGCCCTTGGAAGGGAGGACCAGCAAGATGGCAACCGGTTTTAGATTGAAATTCCACAAGACAGTCAGGAGAACTAAACATATTTGCGGTATGGACATCTGCCCACCGGTTATGCAAAAGGGAAAGGCCATTAAGTGTGTCCTTAATGATAATCCGAGGTCAAAGGATGTCAACGAAGGTAGCCATGAGGTTGGCTTGGCCATAACCCCCGTAGAGTAGCCTCCACAACTTTCTGCCTCGTTGGATAAATTAAGGAGTGTGCTCCGCACACCCATTTTCCCAGTGGGGTAAGAATGGATAGTGGAAACGCCATGAGAGGGAAAGAGAAGCAGAGCGAAAGAAAGGAAGGAAAGAAGAAGTAGGTCAACAAGGCAGAGGACCAACATGGTCAAGGAAACCTCTTGGAGAGAGAACGTGGCTGACGGCATCAAGGAGGTGAGATGGACCACAGGTTGGATGGAAAAATGGACCAAGAAGCAGGGGAGAGCGGGGCGCCGGGACAGGATGACCCAAAAGGTGGTAACAAGGGAACCGGACCCGAATTGTGACAGGCAGGTAGACAGGGAGTAAAGCAGGTGAGACCTGTCCTCCTGAGACGTCATCTCAAAGGCCGGTCACACCTTGTCCAGCAGAGACCGCTGGCAATAGAGCAACCGTTTGGGTGTGCCGTAACGCTTGAAGATCAAAATGGCGATTCCGACGGCGCAGATGGTGAGGAGCAGCAAGACGGGGATCACCACCGCAGCGGCGTTGAGCCCGCCTTCCTCGGCATTGTCCACCTCGATGATGATGACTTCTTCTCCCTCGCGACGGTCGTCGGTCGTGCATCCCATCCAGTCTCGCAGCACCGACTTGGGGTACCCCGGCTCTACTTTCAGTTTCTCGTTGTTAAACTTCCAGTAACGGTCACCCTTGTAGAAGTAGGTGAAGGCTATCGAGGGAAAACAAGAACAGACACGGGAGAGTAAGAACGTGGTGGTACGTTAAATGAGAAATAGTGACGGCCATTTTAAATATGGGATGGTATGTGTTTTCCCTTTAAATCAGGGGTGAGGAGACTATGGCCCTTTTATGACTTCTGGACTCCCAGAATTCTGGAGTCAGCCATGCTGGTTCAGGAATTCTGGGAGTTGAAGTCCACAAGTCATAAAGGGGGCCCTAGTTTCCCACCCGTTCTAATCCATCTTGCTGGTCAGGAATTCTGGGAGTTGAAGTCCGCAAGTCATAAAGGGGGCCCTAGTTCCCCACCTCTACTTTAAATGATCGTTTCAGAATTTGTGATGCCCGAAAGAGAATCATGGGAATGAAATACAGGTAGTTCTCGACTTGTAACTTTTCCTCTAGTGACTGTCTGAAGTTATAATGTCCCTGAATAATGACAATTTTTCACATTTACGACCATTGCAGCATCCCCACAGTGATGTGACCACAATTCAGATGCTTGGCAACTGGTTCATACGTATGACGGTCGCAGCATCCCAGGGTCACGTCTTCTGACAAAGTCAATGGGGAAGCAATATTCGCTTAACAACCGTGTAACTAACTTAACAACCGCCGGGATTCACTTAACCATTATGGCAAGAAAGGTTGTAAAATGAGGCAAAATTCGCTTAACAACGGTCTTGCTTAGACACAGAAATTTTGGGCTCAGCTGTGATCGTAAGTCAAGGACTACCTGTAAGCAAAATTCAGAACCCAAAATTTAATTTCAGGCATCTTTTTTAATATATATATATATATGTGTGTGTGTGGCCAAAATAAAAGTTCCAAATTTTGATATTACTGGAAAAAATATTTTTAGATGAAACGAGTTTTTACCGGGTTGAACCTAGAGACTGATTTTTTTAAAATGGGAATTCAATTACGCTTAAAAAAAATCACCCTGCTTGATTCCTGTCAATTATTCTGAACGCTAAAAGGTTTGGACACCTCATTTGCATTTCACATAAGAAATCTGCAGAGATATATTTTGGTTGAACGTAAAAGGAAGAGTGGATGGTCAATGCATATTTTAAGAAATTCTGGTCCTACTTTTAAGCAAAGACTTCCAAATTTGGGTGGGAAAGGAAGGCTGCTTTTTTCCAAATAAGGAAAATGATTAAGCTAAACATAAGTCAGCCCATTTATGAATAACCATTACTAATAGACGGTGAACTGTTTTATGGAGGCAACACATTAACGCAACGTCGAGAGACACCAGGAATTTTTCATCGCGGTGGAAATGACTGTTAGCCACTCATCTGTGTTCCTATCGGTAAATATAAACCGGAGATGAATTAAATATGAGCTTGAGGCTCTTAAAAGCATCTTCAAAGATGAAGGCGGAACGCTTGTCCGGAAAATGTGAATTTACGGGAAGCCATTGGATTTCATTGCTTTGATTTAAGACCGTTCAAAGGCAAAACTGAATCCAATTTAACTGTATTCGTTGCATGTGGCTAAATCAATTTCAATTTTCACCCAGGGTTCTGCTCAGAGACCTGCCCCTGTCCCATCACAGCAGTTAGAAACCAAATGTAGCCTTGGCTTGGAAGCCGAAATGAACTAGAACGATGGGAAGGAGAACCAGTGGAATTAAAACTATAAAAGAAGGAAGCCGAGGCTAAACATCAGAGTTTCCTGATAATACGAGCTGTTAAGACAGTGGAACAGCTTGCCACATGAAATTATATAGGTTCACCATCTCTTCAGAGTGAGGCTGAGTGTGGCAGCGAAACTGCACCAACCAAGGATTTCAACTAGATCAGGGGTAGGCAACCTTGGCTCTTTTATGACTCGTGGACTTCAACTCCCAGAATTCCTGAGCCAGCATGGGTCAGCTTGGAAACCTCTCCCTTTTTCCCTCAGCGTGGCTGGCTCAGGAATTCTGGGAGTTGAAGTCCACGAGTCGTAAAAGAGCCAAGGTGGCCTACCCCTGGCATAGATAAACCTCCAATAGGCCTCAACGACTCTCAGAGAGAGTACTAATGACCAGATGACCGCAAAGGAATATAAATCCTTCCAGTCTCCACCGTTCTGTCAGAACTGAAGAAGCTTCTGGGACGAGAAGCGAAATGTTTTCAAGGGAAAACAAAGACAGTCCAGTCGCCTTTGGAAAAAGCGCCTTTGGGACACCCTCTTATCGCCCACCCAACATGGTGGATGGGAATTTTTTTACTTTCAGCAGTAGGGGGCCTTGATGCACAAAACAGTAGATAGTGGGAACGCTACTGATGGTAGAAAAACAGTTTCTTTTCAGCTGTCTTGCTAAGGGATCTTAACTCTTTTTTTTTTTTTAATCTCACTGTCAAAGCAAGAATATTCAATATTATTCAATAATATTCAATAATCAGACACATGACAGTCACCTTCATCGTTGCCCATAAATGCACCCCGGAGGGAATCAGGAATCCCCCCCCAGACATCAATGTTCTTGGGGTAATCCGCATCAACCGATCGGGTTTCCTCATTGAAGCGATAGTACCTGCACGGCGAAAAGAGAATGATGAGATCCCTTGCAGAGAGGAAGGGTCGAACGAAAAAGAGGCTGATTCACGGGAGGGTGGACTAGAAGACCTCGAGGGGCCTTCCAACTCTATGATTCTGTGATGGGCGCAGTGGTTAGAATGCGGTACTGCAAGCTAACTCACTAAATGGGTTTGTTTCTCACCCGCTCAAGGTTGACTCAGCGTTCCATCCTTCCGAGGTCGGTAAAATGAGGACCCAGATGGTTGGGGGGGGGGGGGAATAGGCTGACTCTGTAAACCGCTTAGAGAGGGCTGTAAAGCACTGTGAAGCGGTATATAAGTCTATTGCTACTATCCTTCCTTCCTTCCCCCCTTTTCATTTCCTTCCTTCCTTCCCTCTCATTGGTTACAATGCAGTATTGCAGGCAAACTCTGCCCATTGCCAGCAGTTTGATTCTGACCAGCTCAAGGTGGACTCAGCCTTCCATCCTTCCAAGGTCAGTAAAATGAGGACCCAGATTGTTGGGGGCAATAGGCTGACTCTGTAAACATGCTTAGAGAGGGCTGTAAAGCACTGTGAAGTGGTATATAAGTCTATTGCTACTGCCCATCCTTCCTTCCTTCCTTCCTTCCTTCCCTCCCAGTGGTTAGAATGCAGTATTGCAGGCTAATTCTGCCAACTGCCAGGAGTTTGATTCTCACCGGGTCAAGGTTGACTCAGCCTTCCATCCTTCTGAGGTCAATAAAATGAGGACCTAGATTGTTGGGGTACAATATGCCGATTCTGTAAACCACTTAGAGAGGGGTGTAAGAGCCCTGTGAAGTGGTATATAAATCCATTGCTACTACCCTTCCTTCCTTCCTTCCTTCCTTCCTCCCTCCTTCCTTCCTTCCTTCCTTCCTTCCTTCTTTCCTTCCTTCCCTCCCAGTGGTTAGAATGCAAACTTGCAAGCTAATTCTGCCGACAGCCAGGAGTTCGATCCTGACCGGCTCAAGGTTGAACTCAGCTTTCCATCCTTCTGAGGTCAATAAAATGAGGACCTAGATTGTTGGGGGACAATATGCCGATTTTGTAAACTGCTCAGAGAGGGCTGCAAAGCACTAGGAAGTGGTATATAAGTCCAAGCGCTCTTGCTATTGCTGTGGGACTGTGTGGGAAATTGACCCACGCTTCACAAAAATCTTCAAGAAAACTGCAGTGTCAACCATTCAATCTTTTGCGACCTTCCGACAAGCACAGTCAGTGCGGAACTTAACAACTGCAGCGATTCAAGAAAGGGCGTAAAATGGAGCAAAAGTTACCTCACAACTCTCTCACTTAGCAACGGGCTCAAATCAAGGACTACAGTACCTGTACTAATACACTGGGACAATCCTTTTTCCCAGCTAAACAGAAGCAAAGGTTGTAAATATTTTGCCAACTCACTTGTTTCCCCGGAAAAAGTATGTTTTCCCACTCGGCATCCAGAAAAGGGCGGCATCAATCCGGTCCGTGGGGAGCCTCCTCCCTAACTCCTTGATATGTTTGGGGTATCCCGGTTCCAAGTTGGCTTCGTTGAACACCCAATGTTTGTCTCCTGCAAGGAGAAAAAGGTCAATCAGTCATGCTACTTACCTCTGCTCTTTTTTTTTTTTTTTTTTTTAATACACCCAAAGCAGTTGGGCATGTCTAGTCTAGTCAAAAGAAGGACTAGGGGTGACATGATAGCAGGATTTCAGCATTTGAGGGGTTGCCCCAAAGAAGAGGGGCTCAAGCTATTCTCCAAAGCACCTGAAGGCAGGACAAGAAGCAACGGATGGAAACCACTCAAGGAGAGAACCAACCTGGAACTAAGGAGAAACTTCCTAACAGTGAGAACAATTAACCAGTGGAACGACTTGCCTCCAGAAGTTGTGGGTGCTCCATTACTGGAGATTTTTAAGAAGAGACTGGACTGAAATGGTATAGGGTTTCCTGCCTGAGCAGGGGGTTGGACTAGATGACCTGCAAGATCCTTCCAACTTTTTTATTATTATTATTATAATTGGACAGCCATTTGTCTGAAATGGAATAAGGTCTCCTGCTTGAGGGGGTTGGACTAGAAGATCTCCAAGGTCCCTTCCAACTCTGTTATTCTATTAGTCTAACAAAGAGAAGGAATAGGAGGGACATGATAGCAATGGTCCAGTATCTGAGGGGATGCCATAAAGAAGAGGGGGTCAAACTATTCTCCAAAGCACCAGAGGGCAGGACAAGAAACAATGGTTGGAAACTGATCAAAGAGAGAAGCAACCTGGAATTAAGGAGAAACTTCCAAACAGTGAGGACTATTAACCAGTGGAACAGCTTGCCTCCAGAAATCGTAGGCGCTCCATCACTGGAGGTTTTTAAGAAGAGATTGGAGAGCCATTTGTCTGGAATGGTATAGGGTCTCCTGCTTCAGCAGGGGGCTGGACTAGAAGACCTCCAAGGTCCCTCCCAACTCTGTTATTCTGTTATGTTCTGTTAACCCTCTGATTCCTTTAACGTCAGATTGAAAAATGAATAACTGAAGCCCCGAAGTATATGTAATGGGTGTGGCTTCATTTTTTTCACTGAAATGGACCAACCAAACCACAAAGTAAACTTGGTCTCCCTGTACATGGAGTCCTCAACTTACAACAGTTCATTTAGTGACCATTCGAAGTTATGACGACACTGAAAAGTGACTGAGGACCATTTTTCACACTTTTACAACCGTCGCGGCATTCCCACGGTCCCATGATCAAAATTCAGCCGCTTGGCAACTGACTCAGATTTATGACGGTCGCAGAGCCCCCGGGGGTGTCACGTGATTCCCCTTTCGCGACCTTCGGACACCAAAGTCATCGGGGGAAGCCAGATCCACTTAACAACTGCATTGCTAACTTAACAACTGCAGTGATTCACTTAACAACTGCGGGAAGAAAGGTCATAAAACGGGGCAAAACACGTTTAACGACCGTCTCGCTTAGCAGCAAAAATTTGGGGGCTTGATTGTGGCCGTCTACAGGATTGCCTGTGTATTTTGCCCAGGATTTAGGATTGATGGGCAGCTCACAAAGTCACCTTTAAGACTCAGTTTGCAAAAAACAAAACAAAACAGGAGACCACGTAGAGAAGGAGAAAGGATGTAAATTTGTCTTTCAACACTCTTATCATTCTGCTAGTCCTTCTTGGTCAATCGGGACGCCCTCCAGACACAAAAATATAACCCACCAACCTTTGAAAAAGACGAATTTCCCGTCTTTCCTCTCGTAGGCTGTGTTGATTGAGGAAGGTAGGCCAACCCAGAACTGACCGATAGGGAGAGGATATCCATCTATTACACGGTTGTTGCGTACTCGCCAAAACCATTTATCCTGGAAAAAAAAAACACCAAACTTTACGTCGGTATCTCTTTGTTTCATTTCAACCGTCAAATTGTGCAAATGAAGAGAAACGTCGGCAGTGGGGTTTTTCCTCAGGATATTCAACTCTAAGTACCTTCGTGTCCAAAATTGTTACAAACACGGATGGCATGGATCTGTGGCAGGACGTAAGCCAACCTAGGTTGAGTTTGTAACGATAAGGAAGGTCAGTTTGGCCTAACGGTTAAGGCACCAAGCTAGAAAGCAGGAGACGGAGAGTTCTAGTTCCTCCTTAGGCGTGAAAGCCAGCTGGGTGACTTTGGGCCAATCACCGGGAGACGGAGAGTTCTAGTCTTGCCTTAGACATGAATGCCGACTGGGTGACTTTGGGCCAATCACTGGGAGACAGTGAGTTTTAGTCCCACCTTAGGCATGAACACCAACGGGATGACTTTGGGCCAATCACCAGGAGACAGTGAGTTGTAGTGTTGCCTTAGATATGAATGCTGACTGGGTGACTTTGGGCCAATCACCAGGAGACAGTGAGTTCTAGTCTTGCCTTAGGCATGAATGCTGACTGAATGACTTTGGGCCAATCACTGGGAGACAGTGAGTTTTAGTCCCACCTTAGGCATGAACGCCAATGGGGTGACTTTGGGCCAATCACCAGGAGACAGTGAGTTCTAGTCTTGCCTTAGGCATGAACGCCAACGGGGTGACTTTGGGCCAATCACCAGGAGACAGTGAGTTCTAGTCTTGCCTTAGGCATGAACGCCAACGGGGTGACTTTGGGCCAATCACAAGGAGACAGTGAGTTCTAGTCTTGCCTTAGGCATGAATGCTGACTAGGTGACTTTGGGCCAATCACCAGGAGACAGTGAGTTCTAGTCTTGCCTTAGGCACGAACGCTGACTGAGTGACTTTGGGCCAATCACTGGGAGACAGAGAGCTCTAGTCTTGCCTTAGGCAGGAATGCCAACTGGATGGCTGTGGGCCAATCACCAGGAGTTGGCGAGTTCTAGTCCCATCTTAGGCATGGAAGCCCGTGTGGTTTTCCTTGGGAAATTCAACTCTGACCTTCGTATCCAAAATCATTAAATATAAACAGCATAGAACAGGGATAGGTGGTTGATTGTCACACAGTGACCCAATGACATGCGGCCATCATTGCAGGCTCAGTGACGGTCGTAAGTCAAGGACTATCTGTAATCCAGATGAAGTTGAAGCAACCTTTTCTAATAAGAGAAACATGGGGTACTACCATGTTTCCTCGAAAATAAGACTGGGTCTTATTCATTTTGTTTCCCCTCCAAAAGAGGCACCAGGTATTATTTTCGGGGTAGGCCTTATCTCAGCTCCGGCACCAACAGCCCCACCCAGCCGGTCCACTTCTTCTGGGGCTGAAGTTCTGCAGCTGCATTCGGACCTGCGTTTTGCAGTCAGGCCTTTCCTGAAGGCCTAAGCAGCCGAGTACCGAGCTATGGATTCAATCTATAGCTTGGTGCTCGGCTGCAGATCTCTTACAGAACCGAGCTACGGATTGAACCCATATCTCGGTTCTCAGCTGCAGAGGCCTTCCGGAAAGGCCCGTGACTGAGAAATGGAGGCCTGGCTGCAGAAGAGGCCTCAGAAGAAGTGGGACGGCAAGGAGAGGCCTGGCTGCAAGCTGAGTCGGTGCGGGGCGGGTGGGGCAGCTCCACCCCCGCCCTAGCTTGATTTTTAGGTGTGTACCTCACCCCAAAATTGGGGTAGGGCTTATATTAGGCTCACCCCCCCAAAATCAAGCTAGGGCTTATTGTTGGTGTAGGCCAGGGGTAGGCAACCTTGGCTCTTTTATGACTTGTGGACTTCAACTCCCAGAATTCCTGAGCTAGCCATGCTGAGGGGAAAGGGAGAGGTTTCCAAGCTGACCCATGCCGGCTCAGGAATTCTGGGAGTTGAAGTCCATGAGTCATAAAAGAGCAAGGTTGCCTACCCCTGGTGTAGGCCTTACTTTCGGGGAAACACGGTAGCAACCCATCAGTGGCTAATTACATGGAAATATGTGCTAGGCCACTTGCAAAATATATACTTTTTTTGCCCCAAAACAACACAATTCAGGTTGCAGAATTCTGCACCACGCGGAATGACGGAAAGGGTCCAAAATCAAAAACATGCGTCTCCCACCCACCCGACACCCTTCTTCCTCTCTAGCTTGGCAACGCTAGATGCCTTCAAACCTCTCACCTTAAAGACGAACATCTCGCCCCGGAGTACCGCAATGGTGTCAAACCGTCCGTCGCAAATGTTGGGGCCGTAGGTCGGGTTCTTGGGGGGCCGATGAGGGTTTCGGGGTTTCGGAGTGGTGCGAGGGATCGGGGGAGGCTTGGAGGGATGGCCAACTTCAGTTCCTGAAGAGAAGGAAGGAAAGGGTTGGTCCGAAGCTTAACCTGAATTCTAAAAATCTGAGATGGCTGATGGGCTGGACCAGGGGGAGGCCACCTTGGCTCTTTTATGACTCGTGGACTTCTACTCCCAGAATTCCTGAGCCAGCCATCCTGAGGGGAAAGGGAGAGGTTTCCAAGCTGAGCCATGTTGGCTCAGGAATTCTGGGAGTTGAAGTCCACGAGTCATAAAAGAGCCAAGGTTGCCTACCCCTGGGCTAGAAGCTTCTCTATCTGGTTATCCTCCCTATGGATCATGTCCCATGTCCACAACCCCCACATGAGAATGACGGGAGTTGAATCCAACTCAGGATGGGTTCTAGAGCGAAGAACTCTGTTCTAGGAATTGAGGAACCCAGTTACGAATAGTCAAAGCTCCCTCTAGCAAGGGTTGAAATCAAACCTTCCCACTCTGGACATTCTGGATTTGACCCAAAATAAAAAGCTATATCTGAACTCGTGTTTGAGGAAGAAGAGAGAAAAATCTATGGAGGATCTAGTGAAGGTTTGGTGGCAAGCTAGTCTCGGATCTATTTCCTTCTCTCTCTTTTTTTTTCCTATTTCATGTCTTTGATTTCTTTATTTTTTTTTTTATCCTAAGCTCTGCTTACCTCCAAAAGAATACCACGATGGGCACGTGTGAATGAAACTATTCCTGACCAACTGGGTGATCTTTTTTTAATTCACACCTGTCAACAGGTAAAGTACACATAATGTCTAACAGAGCCTCTAGCCAGCCCAGTGCCAGGTAATACAAGTTTTTTTTTTCAGCCTGAGCAAAGCAAGGACGAAAAAAAAAACCAGCGTTGTCACCATGAATGGTGGAAGTGGACCAGCAATTATGGCCACAATTTTCTTGAAGCTAATCCAGGTGGGAGGCACTGAAAGAAGCATGTGCCTCCCACCTGGATTAGATTTAATGGTCTCCATACTTGTTACTGTTGGAAACGTCAAAGAAACAGTCCCAAAGGTGCTTTTTTCAGGAGACAACTGGATTTCCTGGTTTTTCCTTTGAAGACGTTTTGCTTCTCATCCTAGAAGCTTCTTCAGCTCTGACTGAATGGTGGAGGATGGAAGGATTTATACTCCTTGCAGACAGCTGGTCATTTGCCTTCTTTTAGAGAGCCGTTGAGGCCACCTGGATGCCACCTCTATGTCAAAACTGAACAACCCTCTTTCAACAAAGGGGGAGGGATACACATCATCTATCTCCAGTCTACAACACAGTCCTTTCAGCAGTTCCAAGAAGGCCCCACACCCATTGACACAACTCAGGTGACCCCGAGGATACAGACAAACCTCCAAGTGGCCTCAACGGCTTCCTAAAAGAATGCAACTGACCAGCTGTCTGCAAGAAGTATAAATCCTCCCATCCTCCACCCTCCAGTCAGAGTTGAAGAAGCTTCTGGGATGAGAAGCGAAACATTTTCAAAGTCCAGTTGCCTCGTGAAAAAGCATCTTTGGGACAACCATGACCTGGATGACTGAAAATCTCCATAGACGTCCAAGAAAGAGACAAACGAAAAAATAAATCTGATGGAGGAAGATCAGGAGATCACGGTGGGATTGCACAAGTCGTACCGTAGAGTTGTTGTATGCCACGCCGGTCGTCTTCTGGCAGTTCAAAGTTCTCCGTGTCCATCCACTGGTAGAAAGGGGCCATGATGGCGGAAGGGTCATTTGAATGCTCTAACCCCAGGGCGTGACCCAACTCATGGACGGCGACCAGGAAAATGTCATTTCCTGCAAGGCAGAGGGTAGGAAATGAACCCAGGGCCAAGGACGCTGACGAAAACCCTACCTCATCCTTCAGCTGTGGCAACTTCCCTCAACCTGCAGGAACGGCGGAAGACAGAGAGATTGCTTCACAGCAGGAAATCAGGACAACGCAGCTCGACCAAACTTTGGGGACGTGAAGGATGGAACCTCTTTTGGGGACTTCCCCAGGGTTCTGACCCCAAAGCTCACACAGAGTGGGGAAAAGGGGAACTGAGAATGTCGCCGAGGAAGTCTACGTTCTGCCTGGTCTCGAGCGACTGAGTAGCGGAGATGGGATTAATCACAGATGGATCACCATCTGTGAGTCATCTGCATAATCTCTCTGGCTTCCAGGTTCCTCCAAGGAAGGAACCCATCTAGAATAGAGAGTAGAGCTCGAAGGGACCTTGGAGATCTCCTAGTCCAGCCCCCTACTCAAGCAGGAGACCCTATACCATTTCAGACAAGAGGTTAGTCCAGTCTCTTCTTAAAAACTTCCAAGTACAAAGCACCTACAACTTCCAGAGGCAAGTTAATTGTCCTCACTGTTAGGAAGTTTCTCCTTACATCCAGGGTGCTTCTCTCCTTGATTAGTGCCCATCCATTGCTTCTTGGCCTACCTTCTGGTGCTTTGGAAAATAAATTGACCCCCTCCTCCTTGTGGCAGCCCCTCAAATACTGGAAGACTGCTGTCATGTCCCCCACTAGTCCTTCTTTTCTCCAGACCAGCCATTCTCAAATTCTGCCACCGTTCTTCATACGTTTTAGTCTCCAGGCCTTTAATCATCTTAGCTGCTCTTCTCTGCACTTTCTCCCTAAAGCCCTAGCATCTGTTTTGTAATATGGTGACCAAATCTGGATGCAGGATTCCCGGTGTGGCCTTACTAAAGGCTTTATAAAGCAGTACTAATACTTCCCGTGAAGTATTAGGACCTCTTAACATCCTCCTCAAGACTGCCCCCCTCCCAATTCCGCCCTCACCGCTGAGGTCATCGTTCCGAGCGGTCCAAGGCTCGGCCGCATCGAAGTGAGTGTCGCCACCGATGTGGGGCCCCGGGAAGTAGGCGTGGGCCAGGAAGCCACCTTCGCCGTCGAACGGGGTGCTATCTCCGTGGAAGCCATCGGCGAAGAAGATCATGATGTCCGCCTGCGTTTCGCGGCCCTCCCGCACGGCCGCGTAAGGCACCTCGCGGAAACGCAACGGCGTGACCGACTGCCAGACACGGAAGGCCCGACGGATAGCGGCAAAGGTGGCTTGTTCGCCAACCTTGGGTGTGTAATTCTGGATGCTGCAATAGAGGCAAAAAATGAGGTCCTAGAGCCATGGCTGCGTCCATCCCACAGTCTTACATCCCTAACCAGGATCTACAAACTGGGTCTCCTCCACACAACAGCCGTTTTGTTTCTTTAATGGAAAGACAGCTTGTCTACTACCAGGACCCTTCATAACACACAACATTGTGTCCTCTACCCTAATGTGATCTATCTATCTCGGGACTTCAGCTGCCAGAATTGCCAACTAGCATTCCATAAATTCATAGAAAGGAAGTGTGGAAGGGGTTTTAGAGATCATCTAGTCCAGGAGTAGGCAACGTTGGCTCTTTTATGACTCGTGGACTTCAACTCCCAGAATTCCTGAGCCAGCCACGCTGAGGGGAAAGGGAGAGTTTCCAAGCTGAGCCATGCTGGCTCAGGAATTCTAGGAGTTGAAGTCCACGAGTCATAAAAGAGCCAATGTTGCCTACCCCTGATCTAGTCTAACCCCCTGCTCAGGGTAGAAATTCACGGTTTTTGAGGTTGTAGTTGCACCACAGCTGAAGAACCTCAAGTTAGCAAAGCTGCCGTGATGTGTTTGTTAGATTAACCGACTCACTTTTTGCCCCCAGCCTCAATTTTTCACCCCTCCCAATGATAGATCAAGATCTCCCTCCATTCTCAGCCTTATTAATTGATACTCCATCTTCTTTTGATATCTTGATATCGTCGCTTTTAACATCTTCAGAAGTTAGTGAGGAAGGTACAAGAAATATTACAGGAAAACTGAGAATCTGGACTTGTAAGATCTAGTGCAGTGTTCCAGTTTAAGATGGGTGGACTTCAACTCCCAGAATTCCCCAGCCAGGAAGTCCAACCTTGGCGACTTTAAGATGGGTGGACTTCAAATCCCAGAATTCCCCAGCCAGGAAATTCAGCCTTGGCGAATTTGGATGGACCTCAACTCCCACAATTCCTCAGCCAGCAAGAAACACTGATTGTTTTCTTTTTTTAAGGCTTCTAGTCCTCATGTTTGTGCCAAAATATGTTAAAAGCCATCCTGGTGTTTGGGACAGGAAAGAACTGAAATCTACGGAGCGACGAGATTTCAAATTAACTCTCATTCCCTGCCCTGTTCTCTAGCTTCTTTTTCTCCAGAATTTAACAAAAATAACAACAACTTCCATCTTACCAGAAGCTAAGATCCATTTGTTGCCACTTGAAACCCTGGATCGCGTAGCGCCTGCGCCTCACGTTGGCTTTAATTTCTGCTCCAAATTTATCTGGGACACCACATCGAGGCCTCTTCATAGCCCTTAGGAGAAGAAACGCACAGAAAATTAGAAGTTTGCAGGAAGTGGATTCTTGATTCCCGAATGCTTTTTTGCACCCTTCAGAGAACTTTCAGATCACAACTGCTGAAAAGTAATCTATTTCCCCATTTAGAGGGGGCAGAAATTGTGGCCTCCCCTTCAGAAGGGGGCAAAATGGAGGCGCCTTATTTTATGGCAGTACTTAGGCAACCTGGGCTGAGTTCGTGAAGGCAAGGAAGGGCAGTTTGGTCTAGTGGTTAAGGCACCAGGCTAGAAAACGGGAGATGGTGAATTCTAGTCCCACCCTAGGCATGAAAGCCAGCTTTCTGAATTCTAGTCTCACCTTAGACACAAATGCCAGCTGGGTGACTTTGGGCCAATCACCAGGAGATGGTGAGTTCTAGTCTCGCCTTAGACACAAGTGCCAGCTGGGTGACTTTGGGCCAATCACCAGGAGATGGTGAGTTCTAGTCTCGCCTTAGACACCAATGCCAGCTGGGTGACTTTGGGCCAATCACCAGGAGACGGTGAGTTCTAGTCTCACCTTAAATACAAGTGCCAGCTGGGTGACTTTGGGCCAATCACCAGGAGACGGTGAGTTCTAGTCTCGCCTTAGACACAAACGCCGGCTGGGTGACTTTAGGCCAATTATCAGGAGACTGTGAGTTGTAGTCTCACCTTAGATACAAATGCCAGCTGGGTGACTTTGGGCCAATCACCAGGAGACGGTGAGTTCTAGTCTCGACTTAGACACAAATGCCAGCTGGGTGACTTTGGGCCAATCACCAGGAAATGGTGAGTTCTAGTCTCGCCTTAGACACAAATGCCAGCTGGGTGACTTTGGGCCAATCACCAGGAGACGGTGAGTTCTAGTCTCGCCTTAGACACCAATGCCAGCTGGGTGACTTTGGGCCAGTCCCTCTCGCTCAGCCCAACCCATCCCTTAGGAGGAATAGGAGGAAAATGTTTGGATATGTTTGTGTAACTTGCAAAAATAATAAAGGCGGGATACAGATGAAGAAATAAATAAAGAGGGTCATACCCAGATGGAATTCGGGAAAGCAGCCAGGTAGATCCCCCCCAGACTGAAAGCCACTTGGCCAAGTTGAACAAAAACCATCTTGGAAGACCCCTCCAATTATCGGAAGTCAAGGAAAACCATCAGAGTCATGATGACTCTCGAACACAAAACGCTGATTAATTCTTAGCTCACCAGAAAGCTTAAGGAAGGCTTAATGGATGCTTTGGCCTAAATTAAGAAGTGGGAAGTACTCTGTATTTTCAGGGGCACACCGAAACCGGAATTTTAGCTGCACAAATGTGACTGTCTTTCCCTAAGCCAATAATTGAGATGGTGGGCCGTGGAATAGATTTTTTTTGGGGGGGGGAGAGGGATAAGTCTGTAGTGGAGAGCAGTTTAAGAAAGAAGGAAGGGAGGAGGGAGGGAGATGAGAGGAGGATGGGGAGGAGGAAGAGGAGGAGGAGAAGGAAGGAAGGAAGGAAGGAAGGAAGGAAGGAAGGAAGGAAGAAAAGAAAGAAAGAAAGAAAGAAAGAAAGAAAGAAAGAAAGAAAGAAAGGAAGGAAGGAAGAAAAGGAAGGAAGAAAAGGAAGGAAGAAAAGGAAGGAAGAAGAAAGAAAAAGAAAAAAGAAAGAGAAAAAGTAAAGAAAGAAAGAAAGAGAAGGAAGAAAGAAAGAGAGACAAAGAAAGAAAGAGAAAGAAAGAGAAAAAAGAAAGAGAAAAAAGAAAGAGAAAAAGTAAAGAAAGAAAGAAAGAAAGAGAAGTAAGGAAGAGAGAGAGAGAGAGAGAGAAAGAAAAAGAAAGAAAGAAAGAAAGAAAGAAAGAAAGAAAGAAAGAAAGAAAGAAAGAAAGAAAGAAAGAAAGAATCACTTCCATATTGTTCCCAAGAAAATTGCATAGCTTTGTTCAGGAACTCAAGAGCAATGGAAAAAATGCATAATTTATACTGGATAAATTCCATTGATCGGATACCACCCTCAAGAATTCTTGCTTTTGTTTCCGCAGCTCCTAAATCCAATTTCAGGTTTTGCCTTTCTCTGACCCTAGAATATTTTAGCCTGACATGCCAGCAATTGTAAACGTAGCAACTTATTTATTCTTCTGAACTGTTGACTGATTCTGCATCTATTTCTAAACTGTAACGCCTGCAGGGGACTTGACACCACTCATTCCTCCTAAAGTACCATGGACGCAAATAAAACCACATAAATAATGACCTAACCGTTTCTAAACAGACACGTAACCACAGAGTAAAGGCCCGAATGAAGCTTTTCCAAACTACTAGGTATAAGCCTACAACCTGCAGTGCGATTCTCACAGGCTCAGGGTTGACTCAGCCTTCCATCCTTCCGAAGTCGGTAAAATGAGGACCCAGATTCTTGGGGGGG